CATGATTACTGGGCTGGGAAAGCAAGAAGTTACCCTCTCCCTAACACAATGCCCTTCATGAACAGATGGCACAGGTACTTGATAAGAGTTCATACTACCCACTCTCAAAAAGCAAATAAAGATCACAGAGCCTGAATAAAAAAAAATATCCAGATCTCCATTGCCTCCAGGGCACTGGTGTCCTGCCACTGGACATGTACAATTGCATTTGCAAGGCCTTCCCTTGATTTCTGAGGCTTCCTGAGTTCATCCACCTTCTGGTCCCAGGCACCTTCTCCAGCCAGAGTAATGTTCTGAAAATAGAAAATCCTTTACAAACAACGCAAACGTCCTGTTGGTCAATGTGCTCTTTCCTAACACTGTGCAAAGTACATTGTTGGATAACCAAATAAACTTGGGATTAAATATTTCTGCGACACAGAAACGTCTGGTAGGGAATGTCAGTGGATGCTCACGGATGGATGGTGGAGGTTGCAAGCATACACCCTGGCCAGCCCCTCTTCTGCAAGAAGTCAGACAAGGATGCACAAGGGTCTCTGAAAAGGTGCTCATTCACACGTGAACAAGTGCAGTCGGCTGGGATAGAACATCCAGTGCTGAGGGTGCCTCTGGCGTGGTGGCCTTTTATTACAGTTGCACTGGCCTGTGTAAGTCGAGGTCACACAATGCTCCCAGGACCATTGAAACTATGGTGGCTTTCAAAACCAGGAAAGAAACAATTAGTAAGGTAGAGGCATTATTCAAATGCATGTGAAGATGTAGATGTATGTTGATTCCTGGGTGGTGTGCTATAAACCCACCTGCCACCCACCTGGAAGTGTGGCAGAAGCTCACACAGCTAAACGCATGTGTCCTCCGGACTCTAGGTGGAAGCGGATCTCACGTTGGCACATATGAGCAGTGCAGGAAGTCGGCAGCATATAAACACCCCAAATACACACCAGGTATTTGCAGTGTGTACCTGGGGGAAGGACCAGTTTGCCAAGTGCTTTGGGTTTAACTGTGAACAGATTTGTTTATAGCTTTGTATGTTCTAGGAATAAGTTGGGGGTGTCTTAAGTAATATGTAAAACTGAACATCATAAATAAACAAAAAGATAAATAAGTAGGTGAGGAAATAAAGCTACAGGGGAGAAAATGTCATATCTCTGAAGATTTAGCAACCAACAGGAGTTTCCTGCACATCTTCAGGACTGGGCCCCAGCAGGCTGCTCAGATCAGATTCAAAGATCCTGGAGCTCAGCACCCCAGGCACAGCGGAGGGCAGAGAGGACTGGAGCTCAGCACCCCAGGCACAGTGGAGGGCAGAGGTACCACCTAACTCCAGTGAGGTTGGCCTACATTCAGAACTCAACTAACAACACCTGCTGGCGTGGATGTGGGGAGAAAGGCACCCTCCTTCACTGCTGGTGGGAGTGAAGGCTAGTACAACCACTGTGGAAGTGAATATGGAGAGTGCTTAGAGAACTAAACATTGATCTGCTGTATGACCCACTTCTGGAAATATGTCCAAGACAAAAGAACTCTGCATATGAGAAAGAGGTCTGTAATCCTATATTTGCAGCAGCACAATCTATAACAGCAAAGACATGGAAACAATCCAGATGCCCATCCAAAGAGGAATCGATAACAAAACTGTGGTACATTTACTCCATGGAATACTACTCAGCCATTAAAAAGAATGAAATCCTACCATTTGCAACCAAATGTTCCCAACTAGAGACTATTCTGGACACTGCAATAAATAATCCCAAAATGACAAATACCACATGTTCTTTCTGATATAAGGCGACCTTTATGCAAAGCATAAGATCAATAGCTCTTTCAATACTGATTTTGCTGCAATCCATGGGTTTTGATTTTTTTTGTTTTCCTTTCTTCCAAATAGCTTCTTTTCTCTTAAATTCTTCTTTGACTCATAGATCATACAGTAGCACCATGTTCTCCAAGAAGGTTTTTTGTTTTCTGTTTTATTTCTTCATTGACACATTGCTAATGCCATAGCATGCTATTTAATGCAATGATGGTGTTGTACATTTTTTAACATTATTCCTATTGCTGATTTTATTTTACAGTTTTTTGTTTAAAGGAGTGTGTAGTAATGGCGTAATAGAGACTTGCATATCCAGATGTGAAGAAGCAGTGCAGTGTGCATCTCTACTTCCACTTCAAAGGATTCCCAGTGAGACTGCTGGATGTATCTTCACAATAGGATGCTGGACTATATGGCATTGTCTGCACTGGCAATGTCAGGACACACTTGAATAGCAGACTGATGGACTTAAGACTGCTCATGAAGGATTATACTATTGTATTAATATGGGGGAAATCAGTTGGGGGGATGGAATTTGGGGAGGGGGTAAGGGAAATCCCAGAGCCTATGGAATTGTGTCATGAAATTAAAAATAGAATAGAATGAAAAACAAAGAAGGCTTTCTGAAACACTGTGTTCCTTGGGAGTCAAGGACAAACCTACACAGGTAGAAATCTGCAGAAATGGGCTCTACAGCTAAGCTGTCCCCTCCATGTACAGGGCATTGATTTGCCAAGCATTTCAGCCCAAGATGTATGGGCTGTGAGACTTGTAATTGCTACCTGGGCACTAACAACATTATCGACGCAACTCCATTCTTAGTCAGACATCTGTAACCCACACCTAGTGCCACGATCAATTTATGCTCAGATGCCTAAAACAGCAAAAAATTCCACCAACCCTGACCAAAAGGCATATGATAAAGCTACCAGAGCCTGCAAATTACATCTATGTATAATGTTTTTCTATCCAAAATTAAAAACAGAAGAAGAAGATATTATTTAGTTTATTTATTTAGTTTTTAAAATGCTTCATATTTTTTTAAAGAGGGACTTGGAAACAAACTTGGTATTCTGTATAGTATAACTTAATTTTAATATCCACTTTCTCTATATCTCTCCAAGAATGTCTTTGGCATATAAGGCAAACTAGTGACGGAATTTAGTCACAGGCACAACAAACAGTTACCACTGAGATCTTCAAAGCTGCACTGTGTGCCACACCTACAGAACTTGGCTGTGTGTATTCTGCTCATACATGCGAACGGCTTCCTTCTGCTGTTCACTTTGAGTGATCTCCAGCTGTTAAGCAAGTAAGAAGCATGCCACATGATAGAAAGACCACAAGATACAGAAAGTTTCACTGCTGTGAGCACATGCAATTTCCAAAAAAAATCTAATAGGACCTAAGACAATTCTGGCACAACCAAAACTCAACACTAAGTTTTCCAAGTCCAACAATGGTGCTCAACCTGCTCCATTACATTGCTCCTCTTTTGCACAAATCTAAATGGTGTGGGACTGGGGCAGGGGGGAATCCTAACCTCCAATCCCATCACCATTACCATCTTGTGCATCCACCCCAGACTCACCTCCAAGGGACAGAACCAGGTAAGTGGACATCAATAATCTGCATAAATATCTTTGTCCCCAACACTGGGAAACATTGCAAAACAGGCAGCCTTGTTGCCTAATTCATTGCGTGTGAATAGCCAATAACCAATGCTCAATAAATGCAACAGGAAAACTATGACGTAAAATCAGCTTGAAATTCTGAAATCTGTAGTTGGAGTCCAGCCTCTCTCTAAGCAATTGGTATGCCCTTGCAAACAGCAGGAAGAGTGCAAACAGTGTCATACAAGGCACACATCCCCCCAAGCACTAGCAAAGTGGTCTGTACATAACACCACACCGTGTCACCTTTTCACAAAGTGAATGTACAGGTGACTACGGAACACCCCAAATTCTTCAAAATGCTCTTGCTGCAAAACACCATCATCTTCTCATTTTCTACAATTATAAGGGACCTTCAAAAAGCTCAAGTGTATTATGAAAAGAAACACGGTCTACGGCCATACCACCCTAAACACGCCTGATCTCGTCTGAAAAGAAACATGATTCCAAAAATCTTTTGCACCAAAATAGACATATGTTTTAATTTTATTTTCTGCGGACTTTCTGAAGTCCCGGACTATGAAGGAGTTGATTCCTTCCTTCATGCAGATCATCAACACTGGAATGCTGCCAACCCATGGGTCTCAAGTTGTTTTAGAGAGAAGAGAAACATCAATTTTTTTTTATCATAAACTTCTTCTGTGAAGAAGAAGAAAAAGAGGTGTCACTTTGGTGCTTAAATCAGAACTGAGGTGCATACATGACTTAGCAGGTAATTACCACACAAATTGCTTCCTAAAGCTCGGGTTTTAGACTGGCTGCCTAACTCAAAGGCGTGATATGAAGGAAGAAAGCAAGAAGGCATTTTCTGAGGTCACTATTTAAATTAAGCAATTATACAGTGCAGAAGCAACTTAAACCTCCTATATCCACAGAAATGTAGCAGTTTCATAGAATCCTTGTCAATCTCCAAAGTGAGTCAGAATGGACTCAAAGATGCAACCTCTACCGGGAACTGTGCCACACTAAAATGTGTTATAAAAGTAATGCTTAATTACTGGCTCTCAAGAGAGGCAGCATCTAGTTGGTGATAGAGAATATACAAAACCTGGTCAAAACCACCGACACCTTATAGAATTGATCCGCCCATTAAAACGCCCACTTCCATTCATATTCCAAACTCAGGTTCTTTGCGGTTTATCCTCACTGTACACTGCTGGAAATTCTCACTTCACATCTTGACTTTCTTTTGTGAAAATTATACGGTTTGGCTAATTTTTTGAGGTATCAGTCATACGTGAGAGCTTTGTGGATTTAAGAAACAAGCGTAAGCACAATGGGTGCTTGCTGTATAAAGACCTTGGGAGGGCACGTGGCCTTTGAAACGCCCTTGCTAAGAGATACATGTTACATAGAGAAGCCAATATCTTGGACACACAGTAAGTCTTGACACACTGCTACCAGCCTCTGACACCCCAATGGGAGGTCTTCTAGGAGTTGGTAGGCTATTAGAGGTCTGAGAGCATTCCCTTCTGCAGCAAAATCACAGGAGTTCGTGTTCAAGGTGAGCTTACCTGGTAATCTGTGTTCTCGTACTGAAGTCCAGAGACCTCATGGAGCGTAGAACTTCAATGCATCCCAAGTACTGCAAGAGAAGAAAAAAAAATAGAAGACATGAACCCTGGGGGCTGGCACGTGACACACATATCTTAAACTTTAAATCCCATGACAAGGCTTTCTTCCATTTCTTTAAAAAAGCAATAATGAGGGGCAGGTGTTGTAGGGTGCTGTGTAGGACAGTTGTATCACATATCACACGTCACAGTGTCTGTATTTGAGTCCCAGCTCTATTCCCAATTTCAGCTTCCTGCCAATGCACATCATTGGAGGCACCAAGTTTTTGGGTCAAATACTTGGAATCCTATCACACGTGGGCTATCTGCATTGAGTTATAGGTGCCTGGCTTCCTTCTGACCCAGTTCTTTCAAATAAATTTTATTTTAACTTTTGTTTTCTCTTTATTTGAAAAGCAGAGTTATAAAGAGAGGGAGAGACAGAAAGATCTTCCATCTACTGGTTCACTGCCCAAATGGCCACAACATTCAGGGCTGGGCCAGATCAAATCCAGAAGCCTAGAACTCCAGCTGAGTCTGCCCTGTGGGTGGCAGGGGCCCAGGCAGCTGGGCAGTCCTGCACTGCCCTCCCGGGTGTATTAGCAGAGAGCTGGATCACAGCACCTGGGACTAAGTACAGACAGCAGTTTAATCCACTGGGTCATAGCACCGACCCTTCTATTTAAGAGCCAACACCTCATGCCCCAAACAAGATATCTTGAGCACTTAGATTTGCCTTTCTAAAACTCATTAGTAAGTTCATTCTATAAACATTCATTCTATAAACACACACTATAAAATGCAGATGTCTCAAATGTCTATTTCAATGATGATTTAAACATTTATTTGCATTGGACCCCGGCATCATATTTCTACCTTTCTATATGGCTTCTAGAAGTTCGACGCTTTTAAGAAAAGAGTGGAAACACTACATGACAATATTAAAGGTTTTAATATATATACTTTGGTATCTATTAATAAGCTATAGAATACTTTGGTTTGCCAAGAAGTCCTCCTGTGCCATCTTTAGCGGGAGCTTTCAGAAATTCAAATTTATTCATTATGTATAACTAAATTTTGATCAATTTCACATATAAAAATGGTATATGTTAATATATGGACATAACTACAATTACAGACAAAGAACTAGGTACAATATTTATGCTCCAAAGTCCTTGAGTAGTTTGAAGGTACAAATGTGTTAGAAAAAAATTAAATTTAGATTTAACAGGAAGAGATCTCATGGTATGATCCAGAAAATACTGCCTTTGAATTATTCAGAAAACCTGAATTTTTGAGACTGGCTTTGTTATACATTATTATACAACTCTAAACAAAACATTTAAACTTCTCCGAGCCTAAGGTCTTCATCAAGAGTCAGTCACTAGGTCTATTCTACCCACCAACACCATAGAATTCTTGAATTCTACCACCCCCATCACAGGAGACTTCCATAGCCAATGTCACAGAGATTCATGAACTAAAACCACCTACATTACAGTTATGTAATTACAATCACTAGCATCATAGGTTCATGTGATGGGACTAATTGTTACATGCTAATCAACATCACAGGGAGTTGTATGGTGTGAAATTGCCTAGATGAAGTAACACCTTGAAATTTAGAAAAGCATTCTGGGGAAGGGGAGGGATATCTCTTATGGCATTTCCAAATGGCATTCACCCATGAATCTAAGTGCCAGGTGGGAAAACCCAGCCCCTATGCGGGAGAGCATTCAGTGGGCTGGGGGTTCTGGAAAGACTAAGTGAGAAATGATTCAGGGCTCCTTCAAAGAGGAATCTAGGGCTCCTCTTGACTCCTGTGTCAGATGACAGTTTGGCAGTTGGACTTCAGCACTACCTCTGCTACCTCCTCGCCAGGACTTGGGTCTTCAGGCCTCAAAGTAAGACTCAGAACCTCAGTCTTTACTACTTTTCTACACTACCAACATCCCAGGCTCTCCAGCCTGCCCAGAAGACCTATTGTGGAACTGAGCTGCCACCATGACATGAGTCAAACCTCCTTCTAAATTCCCCCTTCATATGCCTATATGCATATCCTGTCAATTCTGAATTCTAGAGAACCCTACCACAACCAACAGCACCAGCGTCACAGAGTTATACAAATGAAGCATCTCTGTTGCAACGTGATGGGAAAACAACAACCAAGTACCAACACCAACAACACAGTTACGTGACTACCACAAATGGCAAGGTTCTAGTTACGGGAGTACGAACATCACCATTGTGAAGTCACAGTAAAACCGTGATTCATGTTACAGATTCATGAGACCACCACCAAAAGATATAGCACAGGTACCATCATGGCAGAACTGTGTGCCATGACAGTGTCACAATTATGTGAAAACTGTGACTAAAAAGTCACCGCTGCTGAGAGTCGTATGAACATCTGCCCCAATATGGGTGTATATTTACACGCATGGCATGACCAAAGCCACAGATTAGGCAAATACCTGTCCACTTTCATGCAGTCAAGCGAAAACTAGGCCTGATGTTTGCAGTTGTAGGAATACCTACTCCACCAGCAGCTTTTTAAGTGCAATTTTAAATGGTCATACAGAAAGATGAACTTTAACATTTATTTTGGTGCAAAAATAACTAAAACTCATGCACACTCAGATTATCAGAAAGCTCCTAGAATGTGTGCATTAATGTTTAAAAAGAACTATCTATTAACAGTTACTAAAAATAAATTTATACTTTAATCCGATAATCCATGAATTTTCAAAGTACCTTCATGTTTATGTGAGTACTGTGACCAAAGGCGCAGGTGTATATGGACAGCACCACCCCTCTTGGAGGGCTGTGGTACTTCCACCATGTCCAACATCACTGTACTAAAAACACCACCGCCTGCAACAGTGTGCAGCTGTGTGAACGAACAAGAAACAACCTCAGGGATGTGTGTGAAGGCCACAGTCAGTAGTGGTGTGCATACCACTGCTATCACAGAATTATGCCATCACCACTGTCACTGTCCCCAGGATGAGTGAAGACTGCAAACGACAGTGCAGAGCAATGAGCTCACCACACCTACACGACCACAGAATTCTGACTGCCACTGCTGCTATCATCACAGAGTCATCCGACGGGCACGACCACAACAACAGTGTTAAAGGAACACCATCACTAACGCAGTCATCTGAATTCCACCACCAACAGCACTGCAGTGCCATGTGAAAGCCAATGGTGCCCCAAAGTCAATCAACACCATGATCAACTGGCCGTTACATGAGTTCCCGCCATTGCTGTCATCACAGCACTATACCACCACCAATGTCACAAAAAAAAAAAAAATTACCAATGCCATTCAAAACCATAGCAGGGTTGAATGAATACCACAATGAATTTCATAAGACATGTGCATCAAACTAGATCAATGTGATAAGGCCATGTGAACACACAACCACTCTCATTTAACTACTTGAATACCACATCTGACAATAATATGGATTATATTAATACTGCAAACAATGTCACATTGTTGGTTGAATAATATCTACAACATCATAGAATTGCATCAACAGAACTTCTACAGCTGCAGAGTTACATGCATTCTCACTAAACTACTATCCTCTGCTTACATAGACACCTTGCCAATGGCAGATTTATGCCAACAGAAATAACTGTGCATGTCCCCATGACATCATAGGAATATATGAACGCCACTACCACTGATCCACAGAATTCTTGTCCAGCGAAACATTTATGTAAATACAGAACCAATGACGCAGTTGTGGGAATACCACCACCAACACTGTCGCAGAGTTTTGTGAACACCATATCTGTGTCCCAGGCTGTTATTACCACCACTATCACAGTTCTATAAATATCATGACCAACATAGCAGAGTACCACCTGTACCAACTTCATACAGTATTTGAGTAACACATGCCACATCCCAGAGTTAGATTAATACTGTCACCTACATCACTGCAGTGTCATGTCAATGTCCCCACAAACTGCAGATTTCTTAGAATAATCCAGGCAGCCATTGAGTCATATGGCTGTGATCATGACAAGTGTCCCACGGTGGCCAACTCAGAGCACCGTCACAGCAATTCAAAGCCATATGAAGTCCATTACCAACACGAAAGCATTGTGTGACCAAAGCAGCCACAATAATAGATCTATATGAATACACACCACCAATGCTGCAAAATTATGTAGCCACCATGGTAAATATCACAGGCTTGCTGATGGCAAACATCACACAACTACCACCATTGCAATGTCACAGGACCATGTAAATACTTCCATCAATACAAAATAATGACAACACCTTGATGAATCTCTCAAAATTATATGACTACCATGGTGATCATCTCAGAGTTATACCATATGAACTTCACATGTTAATCTCACTAGCACCAATGTTGCTGAGTTGTATAACTATCTAACTACCATCTGGAATTTAACTGAACATAATCTCTGTCACTATCACAGTTGTGTAAATACTCTAAACAGTGTCACTGAGTTATGCAACTATTACCAACAACATTGCAACCTTATAGGACACTATCACCAACGTCACAGACTTACACAAATACAACTGCCACTACTTCTGCTATGGGAATACAACCATCACCACCATCACAGAATTATGTGGACACTGTGACCAATATCACAGGGTTCTGTGGATACCACCACAAATGTCACATAAATACATAAAGATCACCACTTTCACAGTGCCAATACCACAATCAACATAAGAGCTATGTAATTTCCATTAGCAATGCCATTGCAGAGTTATATGTATACCCCAACTAGTGTTTCAAAATGAATGCTTTGAGTATTTTTGTTTTGTCATTACCAAAACGAAGCTCGGAATTAATGTCAGCATTACACATACACCACCACCAACAACAATACCAGCATGCCATGTGCAGAACGCCACCACAATGTCACATGACAATGTCAATGCCAAAAAATGTCTTGAGTAATGTGGATATCATTTCAAACTTTTCGTATGATGTGACCACCATCATGGTGTTTTGCAATGCAACCACCA